TTTATACGGATATCGTACCGTATCCCATTCGGTTTTACCTACAAAACCACGCATTATAAATGATTTATCACCATTTGCCATCCACACATCATTCATAGTGATAATAAAACCAATCATCATCAACAAATGCGGCCAATGATTATCGATAAACAATAATAATCTAAACATTTGAAAACGAAAGAATTCAGAAACAAATCACAAAAAAATTACAAAATGTTAATCCAAATGGTCAAATGAAATTTATATGAAAATTCAAACCATTCTTGTTTTTTTCCCAAAAATTTATTCAATCAAGTAATTTTCTTAGACTTTTGAACAAATAAATTGAAAAAAATTTTATTTCTCATTATTAATTTTACTATTTTTTTTTGATTAAAAATGAAAATTTGTAATTAATGAATTTGTTTTTTGATTTTTCAATTTTAGTTATCAATTTTAAAATAACAATAGTTATAATAAAGATAATAATAATAATGATAATAGTTTTATTAATAATAAAAAAAATATAAGAGAATTTATAAGTTGAAAATAATTGTTGATTATTATTATAAGTGTTTGTTGGATCTTGTTTTATTGGATTCTGTTTGAACAGTATTGGTTGTTGTTGTTGTTGTGGTTTGTATGATGTATGTGTTTGAATTTGTAAATTATAAATTATTCAATCATATCGAAAATCGAAATTAGAAAGATTATTTAACCATTCGGCAAGATATAATTGTCGATTCATATAAGTGTCTGTTGGATCCTGATTGAACAGTATTGGTTGTTGTTGTTGTTGTTGTAGTTGTGCTGTATATGTTTGAATTGATCTTGATGCTGCGAATTTTGATGCTGCTGCTAATTTTGATGCGGCGGCTAATTTTGATGATTCGGTGAATGGAGTTTCTTGATTAAATGGTTTAATTGGTTCAGGAGGTATTCCTTGCGCTTCAAGCTTGGAACTAAAAAAAACAAAACAAAATGTTGCAATAAGAAAAGTGTGTTAGAAATCAAGAATAAAACTTACTTGGCAAGATATTTTCGACATCCAAAGAATGCACCGACAACAATAGAAACAAAAAGAACAGAAAGAATAATAATTCCTATTACCTTAGCGGCA